TCTCTTATACACATCTAGATGTGTATAAGAGACAGCTGTAGACACGTTCGGCCCGAAAAAAAAAAAAAAAAAAAAAAAAAAAAAGTTTGTCCAAACAATCTGAAAACAATAAATGTTATGCAGAAAAATAAACTGAACAACATTTGCCTCCGAGTGACATCCAAATTCGTTACCAAATTTTAAATAAAAATAAAATGCAGAAAAAAAAATAATAATAAAAATAAGTAATTTGAGGAGAGAATTAAAATCAGTGTGCGGGCGGGCATGTTTTAAACACCTCCATCTTTGGAGATTTTTCATTTTGTTTTGGCTAAGTCAAAATCCCTTAAAATTCATATATGTGTATCTCACATGATACACAACTCGTTAAAAAAAAAAATAATAATAATAAAATTGTTAAGGCCCCGAAACAAAGTAAAAACATAAAGAGAAAAGAGAAAAAAAAACAAAATAGTAAGTGGGTGAGCACGTCTTGACACCGCTATCTTTGGCGATTTTTCCTTTTTGTTTGACTGAGCAAAATGATCTCAAAATTTAGAGTCAGGTATCTCAAATCATAGAGAACTCACAAAAACAAAATCAAGAAAAAATAATAATTTTTAGGCCCTAAAATATATTTTGGCGGGGTCCGAACATCTTCAGGTTCGGAGGGGTTCGGCCCCCGAATGGGACCACGAACGCCCAAACGTACGGAGGTTGGCCTGGGGGCCTCCGTACGTACGGGCTGGTAACCATGTATATATATATACATATACAGGGTACCCGGCGTTCGGGATGGTCCGAACACCCGAACCCGAACGCCCGAACGTATGGGACCCCTTGGGGATGCGTTCGGCCGTTCGAGCCGAACGCGGACCCAAAAAAAAAAACAAAAAAAAAAACAAAGGTCGTCAAAAAAATCTGAAAAAAAGATATGTTATGGAGAAAAATAAATTAAACAAGATTTGCTTGAGCATTACATCCGAATTCCTTACCCAATTTGAAATAAAAATAAAATACAGAAAACAACTACTAATAATAAAAATAAAAAGAGAATTAACTTTAGTGAGTGCACGAGCATGTTTTAGACACCGCCATCTTTGGCGATTTTTCATTTTTTTTAGGCACAGCTTAATGCCCTGAAAATTTACAGATGTGTACTTCACATAATACAAAACCTACTAAAAAAGTTTAAAAAAATAATAAAATTGTTTCGACCCCGAACTAAAGTGAAAACAAAAAGTAAAAAGTGAAAAAATACGTAAGTGAGCACGTTTTGACCTCACCATCTTTGGCGATTTTTAATTCATATATGGCCAAGCAAAATGACTTGAAAATTTACACGCATGTACATCACGTAATAGAGAACTCACAAAACAAAATGCAGAAACAAATAATTATTTTTAGGCTCCGAAATAATTTTTGGCGGGGGCCGAACGCCGTCGGGTCGGCACCCCGTACGGGAACCCGAACGCCCGTCCGTACGGAGGTCTGCCTGGGGACCTCAGTACGTACGGGCCAGTGTATATATATATATATATATATATATATATATATATATATATATATATATATATATATATATATATATATATATATACAGAGTAGGCAGAGAGGAAGAAGAGGACAACC